TTAATAAAGCGCGAAATTTAAAAGTATTTTTATTCAGTTAATGGTTATTAATTATTGATTTCAAACTTCCACCAGTCAACATGAAAATGATAACAGTAAAGGTATCATTTTCATGTTGACTGGTGAAAATTTGAATTTTGTTTTCACTTCGTTTTGTCTGCAACAAAACGCCTGCACTTTCGACTCTTCAGAGTACCACGAGAAAAAATGAAAGGAATTTTGGCGTAATGTCATCAATAGAACGACATAGTTTTAAAGTTCCCGCTTGACTTTCAAAATGGCGGCAAACCGCGGTACTTTGTAAATCTAGGGACTTTAAGCAATTTGTGCTTACAGTGCCATCTAGCCGTCCGTGGTACCCATTAAATATCTGTCTTTTTTTATACGTATTGAGTTAACACACCGTGGTTTGTAATTAGCGTTAACTGATTATTGATTAGTTTTTCCGACTTATATATAGTTACCGATTTTTTGATCTCGTCACTTCGAACCAGTTTCTGAAGAAGGTTGCAACATGGCATCCGAAACGTCAAACCTTTTATTAAAAGACGCATGGCAAAACCCGAAAGTTTCTAGTTTTAGTTCTAATCTTAGTTTAATTCACACCGGCCGTGAAAGCCTTCGTACTTATAAAATAAATTTCTAACAATTTTTTTTTTTAGGTTATACTGGAACACAGTGCGAAATCGATATCGACGAATGCAAAGACAAACCCTGCTTGAACGGCGGAATTTGCCACGATTTGGAAAACAACTTCTCATGCACATGCAGCTATGGTTTCGCCGGAGATCACTGTCAAACGAATATCGACGATTGTATTTCGTCGCCGTGCAAAAACGGCGGCATATGTCACGATTCGATCGCCGGTTACAGTTGCGAATGCCCCGCAGGGTTCACCGGAATGTCCTGCGAAACGAACATCAACGATTGCCAATCGTCGCCTTGTCAACACGGCGAATGCATCGACGGACAGAATTCGTTCCATTGCACCTGCCATCCTGGTTACACCGGAAACGTTTGCGAAACTCAAATCGACGAATGCGCTTCAAATCCTTGCAAATACGGCGGAGAATGTATCGATCTTATCAATAGTTATCAATGCGCTTGTAAATCGGGCACTTCCGGTAGGAATTGCGAGATTAATATCAATGAATGTAACAGTAATCCGTGCAGAAACAATGCTATTTGCAGAGATGGAATTAATAGGTGAGTTTCTGTTAATTAAGAAAAAAATTATAACCAAAAGAAAATTTTCTCCTTTACACGCTGCTTTATTTTCTAATTAAAAAAGGCTCGATCCATTTGATGCGTAAGTTTTGAGTTAAAGGCAAAATCTAATCTTGTATCTTGTGTTGTCTAAATTTGTTTTGTTGTAAATATAGGTATACTTGTGAGTGTCAGCCTGGATTTGCGGGTCAACATTGCGAAACGAACATTGATGAATGCGCGTCGAATCCGTGTGCGAACGGCGGCGTTTGCATAGATTTGATAAATGGTTTTCGGTGCGAATGTCCAAGAGGTTATTACGACGCCAGATGTTTGAGCGACGTCGACGAGTGCAAATCAAATCCTTGTAAACATGGGGGAAGTTGTGAAGACGGAGTGAATAGATTTATTTGTCACTGCTTACCAGGTAAGAAATGAAATGAAAAAACTTAAATATCTTGAATACTAAATGTTATTAATATTTCTTTTTAGGTTATAGCGGCAAACAATGCGAAATCGACATCGACGAATGCGCCTCAAACCCTTGCCAACACGGCGGAACATGTCATAATCATCTCGCCTCGTACTCTTGCGAATGCTTACCTGGTTATACCGGCATCAACTGCGAAACAAACATCGACGATTGCGCTAAGAAACCATGCAAAAATGCCGGCACTTGTATCGATCAAGTAAACAGCTACAAATGTATCTGCAACATTCCATTCACCGGTCGCGATTGCGAACAAAAACTCGATCCTTGCTCTCCAAATAGATGCCGTCACAACGCGCGTTGCACCCCCAACTCCAATTACATGGACTTTGCGTGTACGTGCAGTGTTGGATATACAGGTCGTTATTGTGATACCGATGTCGACGAATGCATGGTTTCAAAACCGTGCAGAAATGGAGCAACTTGTCGAAACACTAACGGTTCGTACCACTGCGTTTGCGCGTTGGGTTATGAAGGAAAAGATTGCAGCATTAACACCGATGATTGCGCCTCACACCCATGTCAAAATGGCGGAAATTGTTTGGATGGTATTGGGACTTACATGTGTATGTGTGTTAGTGGTTTTGAAGGCAAACAATGCGAAATCGATGTTGATGAGTGCTTATCTAACCCGTGTCAGAATGGTGCCACATGTAACCAATACGTTAATTCATACACGTGTACGTGTCCGTTGGGTTTTTCCGGTATAAACTGTCAAATCAATGATGAAGATTGTACGATGAGTAGTTGTATGAATAGCGGAACATGTATCGACGGGATCAATTCGTATTCGTGTATTTGCGGGCCGGGTTACACCGGAACGAACTGTCAAAGCAGAATCAATTTGTGCGATAGCGCGCCGTGTTATAACGGCGCTACCTGTCAAGATCATATGTTGCACTTTTCGTGTCATTGCGCTTATGGATACACCGGGAAAGATTGTCGCGAATACATCAATTGGTGCGCTACAAATCCATGCGAAAATGGCGCCACTTGTCATCAAGAAAAGAATAAATATCAATGTCTTTGCGCACCTGGTTGGACCGGAAAAGTTTGCGATGTCGAAATGGTTAGTTGTAGAGATGCGGCGTTAAGAAAAGACGTCGCCGTTAAAAAACTTTGTAATAACGGAACCTGCGAGGATATAGGAAATTCCCATCGGTGTCATTGTTTAGATGGTTACACCGGATCTTATTGTCAACACGAAATAAATGAGTGTCAATCCGCGCCGTGTCAAAATAACGCCATTTGCATAGACCTCGTCGGAAACTATGCCTGCCAGTGTCCAAGTGGTTTTCAAGGTCAAAATTGCGAGTTAAATGTGGACGATTGCAAACCAAATCCATGCCAAAACGGCGGACTTTGTCACGATTTAATCGATAAATTTTCGTGTTCTTGCCCACCAGGAACTTTGGGAATAATTTGCGAAATTAATACAGACGATTGCGGCCCGAATGCTTGCCACAACAACGGAACTTGCATCGATAAAGTCGGCAGTTTTGAATGTAAATGCCCTCCAGGATTTGTTGGGCCAAGATGTGAAGGAGACATTAACGAGTGTTTATCAAATCCATGTTCGAGCGATGGAACATTAGATTGCGTTCAATTAGTAAACGATTATCATTGTAATTGCCGCCCGGGCTATGTGGGAAGACAGTGTAACAACAAAGTCAATTTTTGCGATATATCACCTTGTATGAACGGAGGGATTTGCGTGCCAAAACAAACTGGATATGAATGTAGTTGCTTAGAGGGCTATTATGGAAAAAGATGTGACTATCTCGGAATTTCAGTTTGCGAACCGAGTCCATGTTTGAATGGGGGATCCTGTCGATCAACTGATAATGGTTATCATTGCGATTGTCCCATAGGAACGATGGGGAATAATTGCGAAATTGATACTTGTGATGAATGCTCAAGTAATCCGTGCAAAAATAACGGATTGTGTCAAGATCAACCTGGGCATTACACTTGTTATTGTGCCCCGAAATATAACGGAAAAAATTGCGAAATTTACGACCCCTCATTCCCAGGTGGAATGGGTATTTTTCCAAATCCTAAAAAAGTGAACACTTCAAATTATTACCCTAACTTTGAACTACAAAGGCAGCAGTGTAATTTGAATCAATGCGATAAAAAACACGGGGATGGTGTTTGTAACGAAGAATGTAATAATTACGCTTGTGATTTTGACGGAAATGATTGCTCGTTGGGTATAAACCCATGGGCTAATTGTACAGCACCCATTAAATGTTGGCAAGTTTTTATGAACAACGTCTGCGACGAAGAATGCAACAACCCGCAATGTTTATTTGATGGAAGAGATTGCGAGCGCACTTTACAACCCTGCAATCCTATTTACGACGCTTACTGCCAAAAACATTACGGTAACGGACATTGCGATTACGGTTGCAACAACGCCGAGTGTAATTGGGATGGATTAGACTGCGAAAAAGAACCACCCGAAATAGCCGATGGAGCTATTTCAATCATTGTGTTATTAGACGTACAAATGTTTAAGCAAGGATTAATCGCTTTCCTCCGAGATACCAGTCACCAATTACGCACCAATTTACGAGTGAAAAAAGATCACATGGGAAACGATATGATTTATCCTTGGGTTGGGGATCGAATAGATCATTCCTCATTGAGCCCCCAACAAAGAGAAACAATTGGAACGAAAGTTTACTTAGAAATTGATAACAGAAAATGTATGATGATTCCAAACTCTGAATTTTGTTTCCAATCGGCAAGTTCCGCGGCGGAATTTTTAGCTGCCAAAGCTACCCGAGGAAAATTATCTCAATCGTTTCCTATATACAGAGTGAACGGTTCCGAACGCGGCGAAACCGCAGACTCCCCAACGAATTCCCGTTACGTAATTTTAGGGATCGTTGTTGTTGTTGGAATGTCGATCCTTTGCGTTTTCGTGGTGATCACTGCGCAAAAGAAACGTGCCAGTGGAATCACCTGGTTCCCGGAAGGTTTCTTTTCGACGGCGTCGACGACGGCGACTCGACGGTCGAGACGCCGTGGTCCCGATGGCCAGGAAATGCGTAACTTTACGAAAAACGCATCGATCGGTTGCATGGATTTAGATATGAATATGCACGGGCAACATATGGGGCATGGTCAGCAATGGTCAGATGATGAATCGGAGATGCCGCAAAGAAAACGATTACGTGTTGGTTTGGATAACGCTTATTCAAGTGATCAAACAGCCATTACTGAATATGAAGAAGCTGAACCGAGAGTTTGGACCCAAACGCATTTAGAAGCGGCCGACATCCGCCCGACGGCGATGTTAACACCGCCTCAAGGTGAAGTAATTAGCGACGTAAATGCGAGGGGCCCATGCGGAATGACACCCATTATGGTTGCATCGGTTCGTGGCGGTGGAATTGGCACCGGTGATGAGGATGAGGATGATACGGCCGGTGCTGTTATTCAAGATTTAGTGGCACAAGGTGCTGAATTAAATGCAACTATGGAGAAAACCGGCGAAACTTCGTTACATTTAGCCGCTAGATATGCTCGGGCGGATGCCGCAAAACGTTTATTAGATGCCGGAGCGGACGCCAACGCTCAAGACAACACCGGAAGAACTCCTTTACACGCTGCCGTAGCCGCCGATGCGCTCGGAGTTTTCCAAATATTATTAAGAAATCGAGCGACAAATTTAAACGCTCGTATGCACGAAGGAACAACGCCGCTTATTTTAGCGGCCCGTTTAGCCATTGAAGGAATGGTACAGGATCTCATTAGTGCGGAAGCGGATATAAACGCGGCTGATAATTCAGGAAAAACCGCTTTACATTGGGCTGCGGCCGTTAATAACGTCGAAGCTGTTAATATTCTTTTGGCAAATGGGGCCAATAGGGACGCTCAAGACGATAAAGATGAGACCCCACTGTTTTTGGCTGCTCGCGAAGGATCTTATCAGGCGTGTAAAGCCCTGTTGGAAGCATATGCAAATAGAGAAATCACTGATCATATGGATCGGTTGCCGAGGGACGTGGCCAGTGAGAGACTTCATCACGATATTGTCAGATTATTGGAGGAACATATTCCCCGCAGTCCCCAAATGGTTAATGTTATTCCTAATAATGCCATGATGAGTAAGTAAAATTTTATTTGATTAATGCACTCCAATAATATACAACCAATCAGAGTAACGATCGTTTAAAATTTCGACCAATAACGTGAATTTCTAAGTGGATAAAAGTTACCTAGGTTTTTCAACTGAATAAATCACACGTGATATTTTATAACTGATTAAAACGCGACTACCATATATATACTTTTGTTTACGTCACATTTTTGACAACTATAATTAAGTCAAAAATAGTTAATAAATAATTAAAAATTGTTGATAAATTGTGCAATTGTCGTGTATTAATCTCCCTAAAATACGCTCGAGCTTGATTTTAAATCAGGATAATTTTATTTTTAATTCACTCAAGTTTTGTTACCCTTTGGAAATAACTCTCAATCAAAATCAAAAGATAAAATCGCTCCAGCTAAAGCTGTCGCGATTTTATCATGCTTTTGATTTCGAGTTATTTCCATGGTAACAAAACTTTCGTGTAAAAATAAAATTATCCGATTAAAAGTCAAGCTCTTGTGTATTTACCCCCGATTAATGCACTCCAATAATATACAACCAATCAGAGTAACGATCGTTT